TTTGCATCAAAAAGATTCAATTTTCCGCCTTTTTTGGAGCAAAATACACAAAAGGAATGTATGTTGGACATTGTCGCAGCTTCGATTGGAATATGTCATTTAGACAAATTTGTACACATCAAATGAACGCCGTTTCCAAGAGATTAAAAAAATGATGAATTGAACTCTGATGCGATCACTGCACTCCCCTTGGCTAAATATATCAGATGATCACAATTTTTTTGCAGTTTCATTTTGAATTTATCTGTGTGGCCAAATTAGTCGGAACATAAATATTTTTTTCATTATGAATATACCACAAAATACTTCTGCTATTTTTGCAAGCATGTTTTTTCAGTGTAGGTAACAAATTTTGAGCCACCGAACATCAGAACATCTCTGATTCTGAGCAGAGGCGCCAAATTCTAGTAGGAGTTGGCCGAGAGAGGGCAGTGTCGGTTCACACCTGTCCATCAGCACATATTCGCTGATAAATCTGTGGATTCTGCCAGCGCATTTGATGCATGGACAGCGCGCTGTGTTTAATGAGAGAAGTATAGATACCTGATACCGCAAAAGCTGATATTTGGTGTACCTATAGTTGAAATAATGGGTTAAACAAAAAAAAATCCCGCTCATCATTTAGTGAGGGCAAAGTGTCCAGCTGATGCAGTCAAAGATACGATGCGCCCGAGATATCCATGCGCAGCGTATTTCACTGCATCAGCTGGGCACTTTTCCCCCACCCAATGTAAAGCTGGATGTTCTCATCGTTTATGTTATTAATTTAACTATTTGTTCACCAAATTTCAGCTTTTGCGGTATTAGTTTACTCAGCGCATATTTTTAACTTCTTTACGTGAAAAGCTGGAGCATAATCCCCCAGTATAAGTTCGGCTGGATACGTTTTTTGATCTATTTGTATGATAATCAACATGTTAACAAAGTTTCAGCTTTTGTGATATCAGTTTTTTTTTATTATAATTTTACGTGTTTGGGACGCTGCTGCAACTACACCCCCCGGAAGTGCGCCAGCTGGAGGCCGATTTCCTTACTAGTGATACTAAATGAAGCTCAGAAAACATTTTCAGCTTTTGTGCTTTTGGTCATTGAAAAAGGTCGCTGGCTTCCGGGCTATAGTAATTAATATAGGCAATGAAAATCATGGTGAAAGAGATGGTATCTCTCACAGCATAATAACAGAGAATATTATTTTCATCACTAAATAATACACGAATTCGAATCAATCAATATAGATTATGATTTCCATATAATACTGATAATGACTAATTAGTAAACATTTGAAATCTTCAGATTTCATTATTATGAATTTCATTCCACTTGAGGTATTCAAAAATTGCTTCAAAGTGATTTTTAATGCTTTTCCAAACGACTGAATAAAACCGCTCCAATCTTTTCGCTGAAACTTTCAATCTATGCAAGAAGGACGGTAATGGAAGGACGCATAGTTCATATATTATTGGATCTTTGTCCGTTTGTCAATCGAGCATTTAGAGAGAACAACTGTTTTTCTTCAGGTCGTAGATTATCACAATTTGATTGCTTTATTCAAAGGTCTCAAAGTTTGGCCAATGGTAATGGATTCCGGTATGATTATTCGGTTCATTTTTCTCTGATGACAAGATAGCACTCAAATAGGCCAGGTAATCAAGGTGCACGTAACACATAACCTTGTTTTAATCCACTATCATTTATTTTAATGTGTGATAAAACTGATAAAAATTGACCCAAAAAGGAATTCTGAATTCGAGAATGATTGGATTGAAAAATTGCAGAAAATAATAGATACTTATCAACTGTATTAAATTTCTCAGATTATTTTTGAAGCAATAGGGTTGAGGAACAGAAGAACAGAAACATGTCCAGTAATATTTTTTTGATCTCAAAATTTCACCTCAGATCAATTTCCAATTTCTGCATATTATTATGACACTATTCCTATAATGTGATAACAACTTATCCAAGAACAAAATAAATCATCCTTAGGTGATAATCAACACATATTAAACTATAACATTTGTCTTCATGGGCATGCTTTGTTTTCAAATGATATCACAGAGGACTACCAGAAAAAAGAAAAAATGAAGAAGATTAAAAAACAATCTACATGTCGATGCTCTTTCCATTAGTTTTCAAGAGCAGTCATATTCAGAGGGTGGAAATGTTTAGAATGCATCGATATTTATGATATTGAAACAAAATATCGATACTTAGGACGTTATGAGAAAATTGCAATAATGTTCGAACTTTGAAGAACATCGTGCGAAGGATAGGAGAGGAGGAAGGTGTTGGAATTGTTATAATGTAGTTGTTGATTGCAAACTTACGAGGCCACGTTGATATCGTGTTCTCTGGTAAACTGATTTATGAGCGATGGAAGGTGATTACACTTGGTCGAATTACTATAGCTTCTATTGATAGGTATCGAAAATTGGACCCCGCACCGCAATAGGGGGGAAATTGGTTTTCGGTGAATTTTCTCGAATTTTGGATATATCGTAGAACTCGTGATGCTGATCAGATGTCCAAATTATCGATGATCTAAATTCAATAGTTTGGATTATACAGGGTGCTGAAGTTAACTTTTTCAAAATTTCGAATGGCCATTATGAAGTTTCCTTTTTGAATATCAAAATCAAATCGACTACGTTTTGTTTGTCCATGTGGCCGGTGAAAATTCACTATAGAGTTCAAGGATATCTGCACGTACTAACGATATACAGAGTTGGTCCAAGAATAGCAAATGTTCCAATTATTTCCGAAAAAGTGAGCGGTTGAAATCAATTCATTTTTGGACATTTCGTAGTATACTAATATCAACATCGATTCATGATAAATGCATTTCTTGAATCAGACTACATTAACATTGTACACAAGATGTTCAAGTTTCCATGAAACCGCACCCGTCCTGATATTCATATCCATTGAATGATTGGAATCCCGTAAAACTTTGTGAGGAAGTTAATAATTCGTGTTGACAATATTTAATGCAAGTACCCGAATTATACAGGGTGGTTGTGAAAATAGTAGTGGAGTTTTCTTGGAGTTGAAGCATTCCGCCAAGACTTATTTCATCGTCTCAAATCAGTATTCCTTCTATAATAATAGTATAATGATTGATGAGTTGAGAGATTAATCCGACAACGGACACATTCGATAATTATTATTCGATTACCTACCACAACTACTACTTCTACTACTTTCCCAACCACCCTGTATAATTCAGGTATTAGCATAAAATATTGTCAACACGAATTATCAACTTCCTCACCAAGTTTTACGGGATTCCAATCATTCGATGGATATGAATATCAGGACGGGTGCGGTTTCATGGAAACTTGAACATCTTGTGTATAATATGTAGTCTGATTCAAGAAATGCAATTATCATGAATCGATGTTGATATTAGTATACTACGACATGTCTAAAAATGGATTGATTTCAACCGCTCACTTTTTCGGAAATAATTGGAACATTTGCTATTCTTGGACCCACTCTGTATATCGTGAGTACGTGCAGATATCATTGAACTCTATAGTGGATTTTCACCGGCCACATGGACAAACAAAACTTAGTCGATTTGATTTTGGTATTCAAAAAGGAAACTTCACAATGCCCGTTCGAAATTTTGAAAAAATCAACTTCAGCACCCTGTGTAATCCAAACTATTGAATTTAGAGCGTTGATAATTGGGACATCTCATCAGCATCACGAGTTCTACGATATATCCAAAATTCGAGAAAATTCACCGAAAGCCAATTTCCCCCTATTGCGGTGCGGGGTCCTTTTTGTGTGCCAGAATGAGATTCTATGACAGCAATACCAGAAAAGTATAATTACCTTATGTCTCAGTGTCTCGGGAGAACGATCTGGTGGACAATGTTAGCTCACACTGAGTGAGATTGTAAGAAAAGTTACAACAAAAAGAAATATCGGAAAGACGTAGAAACAATTTCTCTAATTGTGAAAACTTCACGAGCGATTTTTTCTAATGAACTACAAACGATAAGATTTCCAACTTGAAAGCACGTCACTAACACAGTAATTTTGAGACTCCCCCTCTCGTCCAGGTTAAAGGCATAATGGAAATGGATTTCTCCCAAATAGGTATATTGGGTAATTAACTGAAAATGTTGAGCCCAGATTTCTTTGCAATGTTTCAAAACTGGTTAGGATACAAAAAAACATGTGCTCTTGAAAAATTGATGGATGCTTGGAAGATATTCTACAATAATGACATCTATCAATAACGTAAAGCTTTTCAGTTTCTGTATTGTACAGACAGAAAAGCACGCACCCACCAATTTCTGTACAATACAGAAATAGAAATATTTCACGTTATTGATAGATGTCATTCTTGTAGAACATCTTCCAAGCACCCATCAATTTTTCAAGAGCACAAGTTGTTTTATATCCTAACCAGTTTGGAAATATTGAAAGATATATTATGACCATGGAGAAATATTAATATATATTTTTTTCATCTCTTGGAGCTCACGAAATAAAATTGCTGTTCGAAGAACATAATTATTGCGTAGCTAAGGAGGATAGGGAGAGGAGGTAGGTTTTGGATTTTTTTCAACTTTTGGAGGTTATAAGTTCTTGGGAATACTTCCACTGGCAAGGAATTCCAAAGCTATGCCGTTCTACAGAAAAATATTAATCCTTTTTAGGTCTATTCAACAGAAAAATACTATACCGAGAAATAATTAATATTTTTATCAGATAGAGCATGCCAATTCTCAATGTATTTCTTTATATGTATTTTTTTATGTTCATAATATATCTGAAAATACTCCTTTTCAATACTTTCATACCCAATCAAGGGGTTCAAACTAGAAAATTGTTATTTTTACAGACTTCTAATCACAGATTCATGATTGGAATTTCTCAATTCAGAATTTCTTTCCACGCTCTGTATAATGAACAATTCATCATACATATAAACAGTTTGGGAACATTGTTGACAAGAATGAGCCTTACAAAAGCTCTACAATTTTCACTTCAACGAATATGGAATGGAATATACATTTTAAACAACGCCACAAATCCTCATCACACCGTGCATCATTCCACCACAGTCGAAAGGTAATTCAAGTACCACTTTTATGAAAACTAAAATAATTCAGTTTTTTTTGGTTTTTTTCACCTATCACCTCTGAGTAATATCAAATACCAATTTACCATAAAATAGCTTGGTTGCACCTTATGCCCAGTACGGTACTAGAGATGTTTGTGGGAAATGTATTATTCAAAACATAATGGAACTGAATGATACGGTAGTATAGGGCTATTCTTTTCTTCCAGAAGAGCTGTTGCCATTGCATTGCTAGCTTTCTCAAATTCTCCTAGTGCTTCAAAGACCTTACCCAAATTGTACCTACAAAATTGAAATTCATTAAAAAAAAAATTTAAATGAGACACTTGGCTTTTGTGCTTACAAATTTATTTTACAATGTACATGGTGTTTACAATTCGAATGAACTCTGATAACCAGTAAATATGCCGAATAAAATATGTTCATTGTTGCAAAATGAATAGAACGTGAAGGATGTTCGTTAAAATACCCCAATATTTGAACATTTCATTTGTTTCAGTAGTGTTCCATTTATTAACTATGAAATTATTTATATCACCATGAAGATTTGAATGATAACGCAAGCGAGTGCTAGTGAGTGAAAGTGTGAAGTAGGCATTCAATCAATTTTGTTAAAATTGTGATATACATACTAGTCAACGGAAATTGAGATTTCGATAGGGAGTAATTTTAAATTGAAGTATAAGTGTGTATTCAATTATATATTGGTTCCTTAATTTTTCAGAAGTCCCTGAGGTAGGATGATAAGGCAACCATTTTTGTTAACAATTAAACGTCGAAAATCTTGCTCCCAAAAGACTTGTCGCGATTTCCTCGATTCCTATTATTATAACGATCAGAGAAGATATTTTCATCAAGTTATTAAAATGAACTACAGACAATATTGGCTGAACATTATATTTACCAGGTGATGTGGTTTTTTGGTTCAATTTTGGCAGCTTCTCTCAATGTAGTTTCGGCAAGCCCTTGTAGACCTAGATAATGGTAAACAAGTCCCAGTTGTTGCAGAGACTTGACATGTTGAGGATTGATGGCGCAAGCATTTTGGAAGCACAGTTTGGCATCAGACCATTCTTGTTTGTACATGTGTAAAAGTCCTTTCTGGAATTTTATATACCCAATATATTAGTCAATATTCTTTCTTCTTGTATCTATCATGAAATTCAAACTCATATCATTCTATAACCTGATTATACAGGCTGATTTTAAAATGAGTGCATATATTCAAGACATATATGACAGAGTCTAACAAAAATTACTAAAATATTTGATTTTTGCTAAGTCTTCACATTAACGAGAAATTTCATTTTGAAAATTGAACATAAAATGCTTCGAAATTCGAGTACGCCACTGGGAAGCAAGTGAAATCTGCGGAATCCTAGGGAATCCACAATTCGTCATTCACTAAAGTCAGAACAAGACAGTGATGCCAGATTGTTTCAGAGACGAATATCCTGATAAAAATTTGTCACAGAATGAACATGAATTGAAATAGGTTATGGAAACTAATAGAGGTGAATGTAATATGTACAGGAGCCTTATTTTTTAAAGTTTACTGAGAGAACTGTGGGGTGATTATCTCCATGGATCACGAGAGACGGAGAGGAACATGAGGGGAATGATAGAACGTCCCCCTTCCTTCAATTCGAAAATAAGGCCCCAGCGGGTAGATACAAAATTAGCAGACAATAAATAGGTACACAACATACACAAAGTTGAAAATCGACTCACCTAGTAGATTTTCTCATACCTGCTCGAACAGCAAAACTCCCGAGAGCAAACAAATACTAATATCGAGTCCATTCCAGACTAATATCGTCCTGTGTTCTTGTTGGTTCATATTCGCACTTAAACCATAGAAAACGACTCGACGACGACATATCCTTCCTGGCAATCTCACATTGAAAATCACGACCACTACCATATCACGATTATCATGACACAAGAATTATTTTATTTTTTATTTTACGTTTACAATTATTTTTCAAACCAGCAACCACACAAACAATAAACAAAACTAGTATCATATGATCTGTCAACATCATTTCTCAGAACAGTAGTATCTGTGACCATAGATTTCCTCTTTGCTGTGACCTTTGACAGTACTAACTAGGATTGTTCGCGTTCAGAAAATAAACAATCCGAAACCGTCAGAAGCATGCACAAGTCCACAGAACCCAAAAAAATCATACAGTTCTGTGAAACTGCGCATGCTTCTGACCGTTTCGGACGCAAGAATTCAGCTGATCATGAATTACTAATAGGCGATTTCTACGGACCAATCAGAAACAGCAAAGTAGCGCCTGCGTGGTTGCGATTCATCCTGATTGGACACAGCTGATTGGATTTGTGAGATTAGTGTATAGTGAGGAAGTATCATTTCATTGAATTAAACTAATAGATGTTTTTTCCAAATTAGTTTTTTATGAAAATGGTAGTTTCATTTAAAGATATGATCCTTCCTCACTAATACATTAATCTCAATCACCTGTGCCCAATCAGGATGAATCGCAACCACGCAGGCACTACTTTGCTGTTTCTGATTGGTCCGTAAAAGTCGCCCATTAGTAATTCATGGTCATCTGAATTCTCGCTGCTAGCACACCGCAAGAACAATCAAAACAAAGATCCTTTCTTGACAGTTTGTTGTATGTTATTTTGGAAAACGTCAAAACGTGATACTAGTAAATGTGAACAGTGTGGTCCTTGTCATTACTTTTGTAATAGATCTATTACTATTCCACGGAGAATGTTACAATATTACGATTTGTCATGAATCTATTACTATTGGGTGTTAGCACCAAAATATGATGTTTTGTTACTGTTAGCACCAAAATATGATGTTTTGTTACTAAAAAATCTATTTCTGTGTTCAGCGGATAATTATGTTCTGCTCTATGGGTCTATGTTCTATATTTATGTCATAAGTTCTGTGTGACCTGCCTCATTCCTGCCAAAACTGTCTAATTTGTGCGATATGGTTTTACAAGAATGACATTCAGAATGTCAAATGTCAGATTTTTAGGATCTATTACCTTTTGATACAAATCTGTCACCATTTTCCAAGAAAAGCTATTACGAAAAAATCAGACCCAGGAACAACACTGAATGTAAAGTTTTGTTTCTGACAATTTGCTTGGAATGTGACGATGCATTTCTCAAACATTGAGCTGAATGATATGGTTCTTATGTCGGGTCGTTATTGTGCGGGGCCCATGAGACTCCTCGAAGACCACGAAATTGTAGCGATGAAAGGAGGTGGAAGGAAGGGTCCAAAGGATTTTTCAGTAAAATAACTTCCAACCGTGAGGTGTTAAGTTATACGCTATTCGAGCTTATGTGTAGAAATCTTGGGTGAGTCCATTTTGAAGTTTTTGTATTATCTTTCTGAAATTCAAGACCAGGGTTAACTTCTTCCCCATGTACATTTTCTCGATTATACATTTTATTTAATATCTCCTAATTTTCATGTAGAGTGGCAACGTCGCTTCGTTCATCACGGTCGACTGCGGATCGCAAACGATAGTTGTGACAGAAGTAGAAATCTGGGCGGAAAAAGGGTATTTTACCCCAAATCTATTTTGATCCTAATAATATTTTTAATAGTGCTATTCGGTAGTATACCTCAAGCTTTCTTAGTGTTTAAAATATATGCACTTATTTTAAAATCAGCCTGTATAGTGACAATTTATCATTTAAACAAAATATTAATACTAATTAATTCATTTTTGGCACCGGTCGTTGTGGTAGGCGCTCAAACCAAATATTAGCTTATCATCGAAATATCCTGCAACATTTATTGTGTCTTTTTCCAGAAATTGCATGCAATTCCATTGCTGGACTTTTTTGAATATCAACTGCGCATGCCTGTCGGATTGTTTTGATGCAACTTTTAAGCTACTCTTACATTACAGCCTTTTCATAGAAATTGCTAGCAACTGAATTGCTGGCCTTTGTTAAACAATAATTGCGCATGCGTTTCGGCCTATTTTCACTGCAACTTTCAGGCTTGAAATATATAGAAATGTTTCTAATTTTGAAGGTCATTCACGCGCAACTTTGCATATTTTTAGTGATTTTAGATTTTGACAACTTAATTATCGTGTTGGTGGTTCTGTATAATGGTCGACTATAAAGTAGAAGAAGAAGAAGAAGAAGAATCATTAACCATTATCCATACTTTCACCAGTAGCAAGATATCTCAATGTTATTATCAACTTTTCTTTTGGTGAAATACTGTTTCGAAAGAAAGTATCAGTTTTCTTTATTCGATGCTCAATTTTAACTAATAACTTATCAAATGTAGGCTCATCCATTCTCAGATAGTTTTTAAAAGCTTTCAAGTCATTAGGTACACTCTTTGAATTCATTAGTTATTCTTAAGTTTCCCATTGTTTTATTTAACCATGGTTTGTTCCAACAGGATCTATTCCTCCTGTTTTCCATGCGCCTTTTTATGTAAGTGGCAAGAGCAGCAGTAGTAGTAATTGCCATGAGTAAAACTTGTATTTTTCCTTTATCCATTTTCAAAATGAATTTCCACCTAATTTCGCTTGATTTGTTTATTTTGAAATATCAACAACTTATAATGTCAAAAATGATGTCAAATGTCAACGTCAATAGTTCGAAAACTCTGAAAAAGTCTTGGAAAATGTCGCAAATGTAAGAAGACTAGTTTCTCTAGTTTTTAATTTTGCGTGCAATTTATATTGCTTGCAATAAAGTTGCTGCAAAAAGGCTGTAATGTAAGAGTAGCTTTAGGATTGACGAAAATAAGAAAAGATTCTAATTTTCGAGGTCATTCATATTTCAGGTTATTTCATGATTTTACCAACATAATTATTATAATGTTGGCCGTATCTTATTGGCCGAGAAGAAGAAGTTATAACCACAAAGTGAAACGAAGTATTTAACCATGGTATTTCCAACAAGTTCTATTCCTTCGATTTTCAATACGTCTTTTAATATTATGAGTGGCAAGAACAGCAGTGACTGTTATAAGTAGAACAGCTCTTTGTTTTTCAATATTCATTTTGGAACGATCCACAGTACAAAATAATAGCTAGGTACACAGATGAGACACCACCTAACCTCATCTAAACTGTGTATTTGATGTAATGTCAAAAAAAAAGTCTTGGAAAACTGCAGTAAAAAGGCTCAAATGTATGAAGGCGATTTTCACTTTCAATCCGCAACTTATATTGCATGCAATCGAACTGCAGAAAAAAGTCAGTAATGTACGAATAGCTTTATGTATATTTTCCAGAAAAATATCAATCAATCAACTTTATTATTCCCAAGAAACACCATTTTTTATAGCAGGGAACATAGTGAATATATAAATATATTTGACAAAATAAAGAAGACAGTAATATAAATAAGACTCACACTCAAGAAGAAATAATTTTTTTTAAGTTCAACTGAAAATGATTCTCAATTGACTAAGCTTAGGAACCCAATGGAAAACTATAGTAATTGTACGAGAAAACTATAAAAATGAGATAAGATGTCAATATTAGAGTAGATGTTTCTTGAATTCCTCTTTGAATGTTTCAATCCCAATAATCAGCTTCAAGTTATTGTATTATATCATTCCATTGTGATAGATGGATTTTTTACCAATATCTGATTTAATTTTCATGACAGAAAAATAATGATCTGCTTGTCTAGTTGTATGGTTGTGGTGACTACTATTAATTTGGAAAACCAAATTTGAATGCTTTTGACATAATAATAATTTGAATTTATATAGTGAATCTATATCTAATAACTCCCTTCTTCTGTAAAGGTTCTTAGTAGGTTCCAAATAATTTAGTCTGTATATACCTTTGATAATTTTGTTTTGAAGAGTTTTGAGAGGCTTCATAATTGATAGTTTTGTTGATCCCCATACAGAAATCAAATATTCAAGTTAAGAATAGACCAAGGAGAAGTATATAGATTTGATACATTTTATAGGAACTTGATTCTGTACCCTATAAAGTATACCTATTATTGGAGATATTTTTTCTAAGTATTTCAATATGTTGTCACTATGACAAATTTTGATCTATGACTTCATTATTGCATGTGAATGGGAATTTGACTCATTATATCTTGATTTTTTTGAGATGAACATAAATGCTGATTTACTATAAATTATACTCAATTTTTAACATGATAACCATGATAATAATATTTTCAAATCACTTGAAATGTCATGCCAAATTTGATGAGCTGAACCTGCTGAATAGATTAAGGTTGTGTCATCGACAAACATATAAATTTTACCTTTCAACTTCAAATTTGCAATAGAGTCGATATAAATAAGAAATAATGTAGGACCCAATACTAATCCTTACGGTACACCGCATACTATTTCATCGCTCTTACTGAATGATTCTCTTAAATATACAAATTGTTTCCTATCACTTAAATGATTTTGAAACCAGTCGTAGACAGGACCTCTTAGACCAATCCAATACAATTCATTCGAGAGAATTACATGATTTACTGTATCAAATGCCTTCCTCAAGTCAATTGATCCACATATCTTATTTGTATCTAGTTGCAATTGGAAATCTGTTACAACATCCATAACTGCGGACTCCCTATCACATGACCCCCGAAAGCCATATTGGTGGCTGTAAAGATATTTCTTTGCCTTTAGAAATTCTTGCAATCGGTAATTCAATACTTTTTCCATAATTTTAGAAATAACTGGTAATATTGCAATAGACCTGTAGTTCTCCATATCTCTCTGACCAGTTTTGTGGAATGGTCTGACTTTGGCAATTTTGATTTTATCTGCTACATCTCCTGACGTAAATAATAAATTAATCAATTTATTGAGTATGAAGATAATTCTGATTTTACTGCCTTATTAACATTAACCGAAACTTGATCGAATCCTGGAGATTTTATAGTTTTCAGAGTATTGATGATGTCTTCAATTTCCTGTTCGTCTGTTGGTCTCAAGTACATCGATGTATCACTTGCTCTGTTATTCTCAAATTTGGAGCATGATTTGATTTTGGCAGCTAAATTTGGGCCAACATTTACAAAGAAGATTTTCCAGAAAATGTTCCGTTTTCAGTTTTCATAAAAATAAATTTAAACAATTAGACATTTGCAAAAATTATTCTTCAGGATCTGGAAAGGACACATCTTTTCATAGGTAGGAGGATTTTGTAACTTGCATACGACTGATTAGTGTTGTTATAGTTTTAATAAAGACAAGACTGCTAAGACGCAGTGGATTGACTTTAAAGTAAAACCAATATGGGGTTGCTCGAAATAATTGACACGCGAATCAAGGTGATTTCAATTCATGGATTAATTTTATCATCGCCCAGGACTCCAATGGTCCCAAATAATCATATTCAAACTTTCTATTATAGTACCAGTTTTTTTCAAGTATCTACCTAAATGTTCTCCTTTTTATACTCGTATCGAAATTTCACCCGTCGTAACTTCTGAAATGTTCGGTGTACACCAAATCTACAGCAATGCCAACCATTTAGTTTTGCTTCAAGGTTTTGTCGAAGTCCTTGCCGGATGCACAGCACCTCTGTGTTTCATCTGTCAATTGAGTTTATTTGAATAAGGCTTGCTGGACTCGATTCAGTTTCGACAATAATTTTTCTACTTTTGATTGTATTCTGGAACCGGTCAGGCGTAATTGAGATTTCTTCTGCCAGTTTGTAGATTGCTTTGCAATTCGAGTCAATAAACGTGGTTTGTCCGACTATGTATTTTTTCTTACACGAAAATTCTATTTGCGTGGACCCTTAAGTACGAAAACCCGCCTGAGATTTGAAAGTTTCGCCGCAACTTCTGTAAACTGAAAGAATGCCAGGACTCGTCTTCGTTTGAGTTTCTTTGAAACATTTCATTCTGGATGATTTATATTAATGACGTTCATTACAGATGTACGATGTACCTGGTGATGTACCTAGTTTTCTCAATAAGAAATGTTTACATTCATACTGATTCTTTGGCTTATTAATCACACTATGTCATGAAATTTTGCAATAATAATTGCGAAGATGAGATCATCAACTTGTTAGTGTTATAATTATTATCAAAGGAATCTATGTACTGATTCCTTTACTGAAGTTGAATAAGCGGCAGCTGCAGCTCTATGATTTCAAAATGTCTACATCTCTCAACTGTAAAATGCTGACATTCGCTAGTGACGACCTTACTATCTCTGAGAGATGCAAATTGCAGATATATTCCTCGTTTCATTCAATATTAGCGTATTTTTCACACATTGGAAATAAAGGCCATTGGTATTCCATTTGAGCAAAGTGAGAGCGTGAGTGGTCCGAAGCAATGTTTGATAATTGTATATGAAATGCTACTTCAACTTCAAATTGACAAGCATGATGTCGAAGTCATCAATTATCATCGATCTGAAGAGCCATTTATATCAAAATACTGTATGTAACATATAAGGAAATTTAATCTTGTTTAAGTTACTCTGTGGCGTTTCTTATATCGGGGAAAACTTCGGGTTTTCTAAATGGTTGTATAAATTACAATACTTTGTCTGTAAGTTTGTACATTTAGACGCCGGATACTGCATGATGATCTAGTCATTCTAAGGCCATCTAGTGGCATTAGTTCTAAGGTAGGGCCTTGCGACCTCGTCATACACAGCATGACGATGCCATCTATGTGTAGTAAAAACACTCTGCTGACAGATGGTACCACCTGAATACTTGAGTGGAAACCCACCAGCCCTATTCATGAACTCATAACTAAGAGATCTAGGATCTACTTGTAGTAGCACTCTGTAATGTGCAGATGTAAAGGTCTCCAGATGTTGACTGTAGATGGCAGCGTCATGCTGTGTATGATGTGCCGCAAGGCCCTACCTCAGAACTAAAGCCACTAGATGGCAATAGCATAACAAGATCATCATCCAGTATCCGGCGTCTTTGAAATGGGTGATATACCCGAAGCGTTGTGTAGACCCAGCTGCCAACAGACCGAGAGCGGCTGATAAGGCCTTGTGGACCGAAACAGTACTGTCTTGCTCCAGCTTACGATTGGTATAGCTCTGTTCATCCTAAATTTCTTAGTTATGAGATCTAGTTCAGAGTATCAAATTTAGAATTGTCATCGAATTCTATAGTATTACGTAAACTTTGCCATGGAAGACAATAATTCGGGTGTGCGCCGACCAATACTCAGTGGAGTCGGGAGTAGGTGAAGAAAATGATGAAAAAAAAACTGTTGAGCGCCAAGTGATTTCTTAAAATCACACCCCCAAATTCGGAAAGTTTTCTCAGTCTTGTAAAAACCACTAAATAGACCCCAAGAATTTAGCCTACAGGTTGAACTCAGTAAAAACAAACGTATTCCAGGTGCGAGGGGAATATAATTGAATTCAAATTTCAAATTGTGACCTACCTAACTCTCGAAAGGACTATTTATAATTCTAATTATTATATCCATGAAAGAAAAGGACAGTAAACCAAGCTGTGAACTACAACGTGATAGTCAACATTCACTGAGCAAACTGAATCAATAGTCTCACAAACTCAAGTTCATCAATATCAATCAATCTCTCGTCATGACCCCGGTAAACCAATATAAAAATCCACTAGGTGGTACCTATCACTGCTCCAGCGAAGTTGAGGATGACTTCATCAGATTGTAGATCAGTATTTCTACGATTTCCTTATCCTCAAACAACCAACGATGTTTCGGACCATAAGTGAATATATCACCCAGTATATCATTCATATTTTAGTTCACTCTATACATTATATTTGCTATACGACACCGTGCGAAAAATCTATCAGAAAAATAATAATAGTAAAGTACCGGTTCTAAACAAAAAGAAACTCACCTCCAAAGCAGATAACCCAAGCATTCAGAGACGTTTTGATTATGCTATCAACTTATAAATCTTTCTTCATCAAGGCATCAAGACAAATCAATTTCCATAATATAAAAACGTATATCCCAAAAATTTGTCTCATTCAGCGAACAATGCGAAGAAATCCGTAAAACGATACTTATAAAATATTTCGCAGATCACCGTCGTTCTTGCCACAAATAAATTGTTTTTCTCCAGTACCGCGTACCTACCTATCTCGGCCGTCAGTCGATCGCACGTTTCTTTTTTGCGTATTAGAAGAAAAGATAAAAACACGCTAGAAACATACAGGGTCGTCTGAGTATTAGGATACCTACCTACACTAAATTTTGAATTGATTGAAATTTGGTCACAATAGAGAATTTGAACAAATATTTACATTAATTTCACCAAGAAAAATCAGTCGTTTGATAAACTCACCATATGCATTATGTGGTGACTCAATGGATAAATTTGGGTAGCCTCCTGAATGCACATTTGAACATCAGCAGGCTGATCCAGGGCCAGGTACAACTCAGCGAGCAGCAGCCATATCTCCACTTGCAGCAACCATGCTCTATGTGGACCAGGTCTGGGACTGAAACTGCTCATAGAACTGGCAACCTCGCTCAAAGCTTGCTCCACTCTCGATGCAGCGGTATTGTGTAGGTGTAAGGAACCTTTAAACGATTTCTGTTGTGTTAAATGGTTATTGATGTGTTCACCACAAAACGCCCAAAATTGTGGCAAATTACGGTACAAATAAATCCCACACACTCCAAAACAGAAATATGTAATTTATACATATATGACTAGACTTCAGTGTATCGATAGTTCGGCGAACGTAACACCAGTAATAGGTGGCAGACAAATGATATTGTACAACTAGAAATTACGTATTTTTGCTCCCGTATTATACAGTGATGGGCAAAAGTGTGGAACCAAGTGAATATACCTCGGCAACAGTTCGTTAGATTTGTTTTAAATTTTTGTACAGGACGATTTCAAAACATGGCGGATTCGAAAATGTTATCGCCAATGTTGCCACGTTTCCAGTTTTTCCGTAATGTTTGTCAACAGTAATTATTTCAAATCACACACCCTATACAATAATAATAATAATTAAGCAGTTTCATTGGATAAACAAAAGCCGACCGACCAAGGTCCTTCAGCCTGGGTTACGCAGTGATTATACATTGAGTTCAAATTCATCATTATTGTATGTACAAGATATATGGAATTATTAAATTTGCTAGTGTAAAGAAGAAGAGAAAAAAAATGAAAAATCTATTATGAGGCAAGAATTTCGAAGGAATTTCAGTCTTCTCAAAGATGAATGGGCAACGCTAAGTTGAGAACAATTATAATAAACAGATCCGTAGGGCGAAAAGGGAGTCGTGGAGGCGTTTCTGTGGAGAGGTGGAAACAACCTCTGAAGCAGCACGCCTCCATCGAATCCTAGCCAAGGCACCTGTTAATCCTATGGGGAATATAATGAAACCTGACGGGAGATATACTGAAACTGGCAGGGAAACTCTGGAGATTCTACTTCGGGCTCATCTGCCAGATTCGGTTGAAATTGAAAACGAAAATCTACCAGACCCACTAAACCCTCACATGAGGGCTGCTGTTGGGGACTGGCGGGTATCGAAGAAGATTGTTGACCACAGTAAACTGCTGTGGGTCATAGAAACTCTTGAATCCTACAAGGCGCCGGGACCGGACGGAATTATCCCTGCAATGCTACAGCAGGGTAAGGACCAGCTGGCTCCGTTTATTTGTGGGATATTGAGAGCAAGCCTGGCAACGGGGTACATTCCGGTTGCATGGAAGAGAGCGAGGATCGTCTTCATCCCAAAGCCTGGAAGAGATTTCTCTCAGGCTAAGGCGTTCAGGCCGATAACACTATCATCATTCATGTTGAAGGTGATGGAGAAGTTAATTGAAATGCATATCAGGGAAAACTTTCTCATTGAAAGGCCACTACATAAAAACCAGCATGCATATCAATCGGGAAAATCCTGTGAAACGGCACTTCATCAACTGGTGGGGAAACTTGAGGCCGCAATAAGCAACAAGAGCATAGCTCTTGCGGCTTTCCTGGATATTGAAGGGGCATTCGACCACACACCCTTCATATCCATGGTAGCAGCGGTTGTTGGACGTGGCGTGGAAGACACCACATGTCGGTGGATAAAAAACATGCTACACAACCGAACAGCGGAATCCACATTGCTTGGTGAAACCATGGAGGTGACGATTTCCAGGGGTTGCCCACAGGGAGGAGTTCTTTCTCGCCTGCTGTGGGATCTGGTTATTGACGAACTCCTGAAAAAACTAAACAATGTAGGAATTTACTCACAGGGGTATGCAGATGATGTTGTCATTCTAGTAGAGGGGCAGCATCCTGAAATTATTTCAGACTTGATGCAGAGAGCCCTGAAGATAGTAGAGGGCTGGTGCAGAAAGGCAGACCGCATGGTCAATCCTAGTAAACCTGCACTTGTGACCTTCACGAAAAAGAAGAAACTGGACAAACTAAAAGTTCCCAGACTTTTTGACACACAGCTAAGTATGACACAGGAGGTTAAGTATCTGGGAGTAACCCTAGATGCTAGGCTAACCTGGAATACTCAACTGCGAAAGACTGTCAGCAAAGGCAAAATGGCACTAATGGCTTCTCGGAGAGCGATTGGTAACACATGGGGACTGAAACCACGCATGGTACATTGGCTGTATACTGCTGTGGTGAGACCAATGATTGTATATGGATCGCTTGTCTGGTGGCCTAAGACTGAACAGAGATCAGCTATAATGGAGCTTTCAAAACTCCAGAGATTAGCTTGTCTCTGCATCACAGGTGCTATGCGCAGCACTCCTACCGCTGCTATGGAAACAAATACTCAATATTCCACCTCTTGAAATCTTCATCAGGGCGGAAGCGAGGATGGGGGCATACAGACTGGAGTGTACCGGCAACTGGTATGCTCGGGGTGACTCCCTGGGACATACAAAAATAATCAGCCAAGTTTCAAGCCCACTAATGGATATGGAAAGGGACAAAATGCTGCCTAGAAATAACTATTACAGACCCTTCAACACTCAGCTCTACTGGGATGAAAGGGTCTTGACTAACTGTCAGGAAGGCACGTTAGTATGGTACACTGACGGTTCTAAGACTGATGAGGGCACGGGAGCCGGAATATATGGAGATAGACCCAGAACCAGGATGTGTGCTTCCTTGGGGAGGTATGCTTCAGTATTCCAGGCAGAGGTGCATGCTATTGAGGCATGCCTGAGAGAGAATATCGTAAGAGGATACAGAGGTAAACAAATCCTCATATGCTCAGATAGTCAGGCGGCCATTCAATCTCTAACATGCAATAAAATCAGATCAAAATGGGTCTGGGATTGCCTTCAAAGCCTGCTAACCCTGGCTAACCACAACAAGGTAACTCTTCAATGGGTGCCAGGGCATAAGGGAATTGAAGGCAATGAAGCAGCTGACGCTCTTGCCCGGCAAGGGTCTGCGACGTTGTTTATGGGGCCGGAACCTGTGTTCGGTATCCCCAAAACCTCAATACGCGGCGGGCTGGCAAGTTGAACGCAAGAAAACCATCAGGCATACTGCAAAAATGTTCCCGGACAAAGACACAGTAAGCTGATGGTTGGAACACTGTCCAGAACAGTGACTAACGACATTCTGAGCCTAAACAGAAGTCAGATCAAACAAGTGACGGGACTAATAACCGGTCACTGCCCCTTGAGGAAACATATGCATCAAATGGGCATCTATACAGACGAACCCATATGCAGACTATGCAATGAGGAGGAGGAAACTGCCACCCATGTAATACTGGAGTGCGAAGCACTAGCGCGTTGTAGATACAACCTTCTGGGAGCAGTAAACTCTCAAGAGGCATTTTCAAAGAATGATCTGGTGAAGAGGCTGCTAAACCTCATCAAGGTAGCGAACCTGTTCACTTAAGTCAACAGCATGATCAGGAATACAATAGGCCCAAAGGCTGCAGTGTTTTGGGCTTCAAACCCTGACTGATCATTCTGCTATTAATCAATCAATCAATCAATCAAGTTGAGAACAAACAGATCGGTGATAATCCGCTGTGCGCATCTATTCATTATAACGCCTCGTATTCCACCGACCCGGATAATAATATTTGTTCAACGAATAGCACAGCCGATTATCCACCGGTCTGTTAGATCACATCGGAGCATTGTCAATTTTTACACAGGCGTTGACTATCTAGTGTGTGTATGATCTTTGGTCTTCTTAATTGATTGAGCATTCCAATAGTGAGTTTTCCGGACATTTTCGCACCCTATACATTTTTATAGGATTTGGAAGAAAACCTTTCAGCGAATTCATTGATATATTATTCATTATTATTTTCAATTACAACAGAAATGTTGAAAAAAATCAACGAAGTATTGAGGGACAATGGCACAGCGGTCAAAGTGTGTGTTCTTTGACTTATGTCTGATATGAATGGTAAAGCAAAATTGCCGACACTGGTCTCAAACGAATCTTCACTGGGTATAGATGAGGCACATACACAACGTTCCCGAAAACTGAACGTTTGGGCTGGTATTTACTCCAACAAGATTGTAGTGGCTTTTTTTTAGTAGATAATTTGAATGCAGACAGATACACAAGCGATTCCAAAGCTGGAGGAAAATGAATAAGTACCAAATAATATCTGATTTTTCCCTTACAGTCAGCTGCTTATGATCTATAAGGCACAGATCCGACCTGTCCTGGAATACTGTTCTCATATTTGGAGTGCAGCACCCAAACATACCCTGAAACTGTTGGATTCTGTCCAAAAAAGGGCAATTCGTCTCGTGGGTGATGCCTCGTTCACAAACTCACTCACTTCCCTAGGAAACCGTAGAAAAGTTAGCGATCTGGCTCTATTTTATAGATATTTTCATGGACAATGCTCTTCTGAAATGTCAACAATTGTTTCTCCCTTGGCAGTCCTCGCGAGATTAACCCGTCGAGTTGAGGCTTCGCACCCCTTCGTGGTCACTTTGGAGACAGCGAAGCTCTGGAACACATTGCCAAGGGAGGTGTTCCCCGAGGCATATAACCTCCAGAAATTCAAGAAGAACACCAATATCTTATTTCCCTTTGTTCTCACGATGTTCTCTGAACATTACAGGATATCCCTTTTCGTGGGAACCAGAACATTACAAAAAAAAAAAACAGGAAACCTCCCCATTCCGCTCGCATTATTCGAGATCGCTTAAATGGCCCGCGCGATCCCCCGATTTAACTCCACTGGACTCTTTTCCATGGGGTTATTTGAAGTTCAAAGTTCATTTTAACCGACTAAATAGTTTGCCAGGAGTAGCTGAAACCTGAAAGAATAGCCGAAGATAATATATGTCTAATGTTATGAGGGAATTTTCAAACAGACTAGCCTACTGTCAAGAAGTAAACGGTGTCTAAACATTCAATAAAATGAGTTAGTTTTAACTTGATGCCTTTGTCTGTTTCATTTAACTGTATTGTATTGATTTAATTTTTGTTACTTTGTGGTTATTATAATTGTTTTATAATGCAAGTACCTTCTCTTTTGTATCTAGGTTTGCCTTGGAATTTAAATTATCGTACCCTGTGTTTTTTTATGGAATTTTCCAAATGAATTTTGAATAAGGCCGAACACATTTCGTTTTAGTTAGTTTTGATTATTTGGTTACTTCGTTTATTTTTTTCTGAGATATCTGTTGTTATTGAAAATAACAAATAATATAACGAGAGGCTAACGAGATATTTACATTGTTGTTGTTCTAAAATTGTTCTTATCTATCATTAGGTTGCCCCCTTACGAGCAACCCTCAAAAGTCTTCAAGAGACTTGTGCGAGCAAGGTATGACGGGGGTCTCTCCTTTTAACGTGTGATTCCAAACATTTTCTTAGGCCATCAGAAAAGTTTAACTCACCTACCGGCAATCCAACGTGGATAGAACACTGACGCTTCAACCACGAGGCTACGCTGGCCACTTAGTTCCACACTTTTGCCCATTACTATATGTGTATAATAACGGCGTATTCTTTTTCATCAATGAAATGTTACTCCTCCTTGGGTTTTGTAGTTTTGGAGATATAAATAAGGGAACTTACTTGAATCTTTGTCTGACATTTCAGAGGTATATAACTGGAAGACTGACCTAGTGTCACTTTTTCTATCACATTCTGGCACATCTGAAATAGTTTGACCTTCATATAAATTTTTCCAAAGTTCCAACATTTGTTTGGCCGTAACTAGGGCTTTCTGAAAATAAAAACATATTGTTCCATGGCACTGTGTAATACTAGCAAACGAACCTCGCCTCCTTTCTCATGTAATTCCAAATAAGCCTTCACATACATAAGATTGAGACAATCTGGATACTCTTCCAGGGCATTTTCAACGACCAAAAGGGCACTTTTATGTTGCCTTTCTGCAGTTAAGAGTAATACTAATAGGTGCAAAGTGGAAGAATGCTCTGGATGGATGTCCAGACCTATTCGGATGTGCTGTTGGGCTTCGGAAATGTGACCACAGATAGCTAACTGAAGGCCTAAATAGTATCTGCAGAGGTGGTCGTTCGGTTCTAGTTCTACAGAGCTGAAACACAAAAAAATAGAGTAACCCAATAAAATATGGAAATATTCCTACTGTTATCTAGAATGAGTCATTTCCAATCATGACTTTCATGTATCTATTTATTTAAAAAAGCATGCATTTATTATGTTGTATATTCCTATTTATAAACAACAATGTTTCTTGTGATCATGAAGGCAATTAAAGGCGAGCAATTTATAAATAAGTGAAAAGAAATATTACAAAATGCATACCTACTGGGTGTCAACGAATCTATTAGGCAAGTCATAACTTCTAGAATATTGATATTTGGAACAGTTAGTGGTATGTGAAGAGGAAAGTTTTGGCGTATTTTCACTTCTCGGCCCCTTCCGGTTTTACCGGAAATGGCTCCGGTTTGTATCATTTTTTGATTTTTATGACAATTTTGGAACAGAACGTAACATTTTCAGAGGCTTGAACTCCTACTCAATTTTTTTAGTAGGTATCTTTTGATGAGTATTGCATGAAATTGGAGCTTTTACTGTTTAAGGAACTTTTACTGTTTAACAAACTTTTACTGTTTGTTCATTAAGCTTATGTCAGAGACATTACCTAATTGAGTGTTTTGTTTTCAAAAGAAGACTTGATTAAAAAAACTGCAAAGTATTATGCATCATGGCTATTCATGGCACACTTGACAAAAGTAAAGAAGTACCTAAATAATTTGTTATCCAGCATTTTTCTTTTTCAATTCATGTACTTGTCTTTAATCCAATTTATAATCGGATGCAATATTCAAAGTGACTCTAAAAAAATTGTCGCAGAAATTTTCAATATCCAGGGTGTTCCATTCAAAATTTCAAAATCGGAGTCCTTTCCGGTAGAACCAAAAGTGACCGGGAAGTGAAAAATATGCGAAAACTTTCCTCTCCACATACTATTTACCTATATGAAATCTCATTTACATACACTTGATATTCTAGAAGTTATGAACTGCCTAATAGATTCGTTGACATCCGGTATAATTACATATTGGTTAAAAATAATTTCTAATTATTTATATTGGAATTATGTTAACGAACAGTCCTTCTCATTAAGATAATATTTCAACGCACATGAACTAGTATTTGAACCGCATTCTGATTGGATATTGTGAAGGTAAATAGTAATTGGCTAATTCAAACAGCACAGCCTGATTTTGGTCCATTATGACATTCTGTTGAAGTGTCAATAACCATCAAACATAGTGCCATGGGCGTTATTAAAAATCATTTATTTTTGCATTCCACATACCTAACATACCAAATTTTAGCTGGATTCAATAAAAGTAGAGCGTAGAGTGACTATTTCTCTTATGGATTTCATTATCGGTTCAGAGAAACTGAATTTGAACAGTAGTTGGAATCAAACAATCGACTATACATGACACATGCATCAATAATTTCTTTGACCTAAATTATGGCCAGTTCTGAAACATAGAAGTAGAGTGCATGGATTTGGAGAAGTGCAAAAATATGTCACATAAATGCATTGCCACTGAAATCTAGTATGAAGTGCAAAGGATTTTTTTCTTAGGGTTGATTTACTTATGGGGTTCTAGCCAATGTGGAAAGATGACCATCAGTGAGCAAAAGAAATACCCAGACTGCAACAAATTCGCTAGGCATTTAATATCACAGAAGACCATATAAAGAGTGGTTATTTCTTGAACTGAAATTCGACCAGGCCACAAATACGAAGTGGTTTCGTGATTTGAACCACTCAAAGGTTCGAAACCCGTTTATTTGAAATTGGGGTTGAACTTTAAGAGCTTTCGGGAAGAGCTGTGATTTTGCTCAGGCTGACTAATGAGAGCTGTCTACCTAGTTTTCTCCCACCAGAACTAGTTTTTTCGCTTTCTATCAAGGTTCATCTCATGTCCATGGTGCAATAATGTAATGAAAACGTTAATCCCTCAATACACTATTTTTATTTCAAGTCGAACGTCCTACAGAGCTGCAGGGCTCTGTACAGGACGAGAAACCAGGCGCTTAAGGGTTTGGTAAGCCTTTGGTGGTGAGATGGTATGATTGTGATTGAACTGTCGCGCTACAGACTTTCTCCCAAGATAAAAATTATCTAATTTAAATATCTTACGTTCTGAAGTTATCTAGAGCTGTTTGTCGCAAAATATCTTTTTCTCTCCGAAGTTGAACGGCTTCCGCTTGTAAATGATAACCTATACCAATATACATATGACTTCTACCGATGAGCCCTGAAGGTGAAGTGAAGGCTCTCTCTCTTGCTTCCATACTAAAATTAGTACCTAAAACGGATATATAACAATAAAGATTCAAATTAGTGAATTGACGAGACCGTTACTTATTGGAAATATATTGTAACAAAACAAAACAATTGTAACTGAAAAAATTGTTTTGCTTTCATAGTAGGTTGCAGCTGATATTTTTACGGATATTGTAGCAATTTTAATTAACACTATATTATGCAGTCTATGAAAATTGCTACTAGATATCACTTTTACATATTGATCAGTGACAAACTCTACCATTGGAATAAAACTTGTGCTTATAATTCCTTTAGTCATTTCGAAAACAAACACAACTTATCAATAACAGGGAAATCCTCTATCACCGATCTATAGCAGATTGTCAACATCATTTAAAGAATGTTAATCATACCTTGTGAGTATCAACTGAAAAGGTCACTGCATAAACGTGATCACATAACAATTCTACTCTGTATGAATTGTTGGAAGATGGTATTGTTATCATTCTATAATGTTTCGATTTCTCCTGTTGATATGAATTGGAAAAGGACACTGAGTTTCACATGATGTTTGCTATAAACTTATGTCGCCTGATCACACAGTATTCCAGCCACCTTTTTAATAATTTTCATGTAATTAGATCCATTGTTTTGATCATGATAATTATATTTTGACATTTCAAAATATTGAGGTTAGGACGACAAACAGCTGGTAGGACCATGGTAGGACTTTAGCCACACTATCTACTTCGCTTTTCAAATGGTTGGTCGAATAGGATTCGTAACCAATCGGATATTAATGAGATCAGGTGTGGTAGAATTGAAAAGAATGAATGGATCAGTCGTTCCGTGAGTTCTGATTATTGATGATCTAAGGTGAGGAGTAATTCTATTGACCTTGACAGAATAGATGTAAATAAAGTCAAATTGACAAAAGTCCAAAAAATCCGGAAATTGGGAAATGACGAAATATGACGAAACTGAGAATGATACGCAAAATGATGTGCGCTTTGGTTTAATTTTTACTGCGGAGATAGAGATTGACTGAAGAGAAAGAATGTGGTGATTTTTGTGCTCCAGCCGGCGAAGTGAATTTAACCATGAAGTCTACATTTTTCTGAAGTAATATAGTGGTATACAGTGCTGTTGTTCCTGGTAGATATGGAAAACAGAGTATGACTTCATAACTTTTGTTCAAAGTTGTAAATCTTCGTTCGAGCCGGCACAGTCATTAGATGACCCCATTTTGTATCGTCTCCCATTCTGCTATAACACTAGGATGTTATATCTTTGAGGTATGTTCACCTTTCAAAGTATTTTTAGTCCTCTCTTCAAGAGTAATTTAATTTTACAGAATCTTCACGGTAGTCAGTCTCTATTCTGGAAATAAGGGGGCCACATGGGGCCTAAACCTCTTATCTTATCTTGTTTTACACTCCATCTTAACCTATGCTGCATTTGAGTAGCATCTTGAGGCATTGTTTATGCTCTCATCTTTCATCATGCTCCTATCCTGGGAAAATTTATCATGCTGTTTTGCTGCTTGGAGAAATACCAAGAGCCTATACAACCATAGTTTCAAGTACAGTCTTTGGGCACAGTAATGCTGAGTGATCAGGAACTGCTGTTGGAGGAACAACATTCCAGCTAAGTTGGAAGATAACAGCTAAGTGGTATCTTGCATAGTCTCTTCACTTTTTGTTTATTATGTTGAAGTAATATTTGATATCTGGAATGTCCAGTGATTTCGGTTTTTGGTATAATATGATGATACAATTTTGTTGTGAGGAATCACAGCAGAAAGTCAACGGGTGCATTACTTTCTGAGACCTCCTGTTAGATCCTATGAGACTGTTGTGTAAATACTCATTGTACATATTCATAATACATGTAATAAGTAAGTATCTACCATGTATCTGATGTTCAATGAATGTCACAAATATCAAAAATTCTACAAGTGTTATTTTGATAGGATTTCTAGATGTTAGCTACCTGGTATTTGTGATAGGATATTCATTTAATTTCACCATAATTCTAAGTTAATTAATAACAATGATCATTTTATTGGTGGTTTGTTCCATAACCACAACAGTGCCACATGTAAATTTCATGGCATACTGAATAAAATGTAATATTCAAGAATAATTGGTCCTTTTTAATTATAGATCTCTCTCACCATTCTTAGCTATCATGCAATTCAATTTCAGGGTTTCTGGGTCTATCCCCAGCTATATAAGCTGTTAAAGATTCAGTGGCGCTCATGATCTTCATCATTCCTTTATGAATAGTATTTATGATTTTTATAATGTATAGTCCATCTCAGTTGTTGAAAACTTAGTGAAAACAACGAATCCATGCCTATTGCCTACTGACATAAGAGCTACCGTTCGCAGTATAGTATATTGTCAAAAATATGCTACACTAGTTTTGGCGCCCTAACGTGTTAAATTTGATGACTTGTTATGGCATAAAGTTCTCACTAAGTATGTAGTTCAATTTACAACACAATATAGATATTGATTTTTTGAGTGAATTATATATTTTTTCATATCAAGTGAGAGAAATCTATTAATTAAATTTGGATTATGTATGGTTAATATTTGCACAGTCTCGGGTCACAGGAAAAAAATTACAGGTACAAAGGTAACACCATGATTTTTTTGTTGCATTCAAACTTGTGAACAGTTTTTTGTTTTTTGTCCAATTACAAGAGTTTTCGAGTACGATAGCAACAGCGGTAGAGTATAGACGTATACCAGAGCATATTCCCCTCTAGCTAGAGTAATAAATAGTCAGCGAGCAATATTCGAAAATGCCTGATTCAAGTGACGGTAACTACAGTGAAATGGAAATAGCAGATGATGGATCGTGGAACAAAGTTACCCACAAAAGAAAACCTAGCCGATTGGATAACACTGCTAAGAAAAACAAACCCCTTACCCAAGATGAAATAAACACCATAATTTTGGGCGAGAGCTCCAGTACTAAGGATTCAACAAGACCCACAAAAACACCTGAGGCAACAAAAAGTAACAATCCCACAAAAACCAACACCTACAAAAACCCTGCTACATCAATAATAAAGACTGATATGTCTCAACAAAAACAAAAAAAGTACAAACACTTATTCCAATTAACAACAGATACAGGGTTAGCTAGAATTACTTTAGTTAACACTTGGGAAAAATTATTTCCAAATGCCATGGATGAAATAATCAAAACAAAAATGGGATTCCTATTAAAAACAAATGAGGACAAAACCAAAATAATTGAAACACTACAGAAACTAGTAGCCTTCAAAAGAATAATTAGTTTCAAAGAAACAGCCCCTAACACCAGACCCCAATCACCAACAAGCACCCAAAGTTACTCAGTAGTCTTAGCCCAAATAGAGCAAGAAATCGAAGACAAAGACATAAGTGAACATCTCAATAAAAAACATCTGGAACACCATTTTTGCAAGAGAATAATATCTAGAGCAACCAACAATCCCACCATGCTAATTAGAATTATTACCAGCTCAATACATACTTTTGAAACACTTCTCAAAGAAGGATTATTCTTCAAATACCGACACTATCCAGTGTCCCCTAGCAAACCCCCACCTCCAAGTCCTAAGCCATGCGGCAAATGTTCAGAATTTTCACACCCCACCGAATCTTGCAACAACACTCCTAAATGCCCAAAATGTCTTGGGCCTCATAATCTCAGCAAATGCACTTCAGCCCTTGCCCCTAAATGCACTAGTTGCGGCTCAGAAAATCACCTAGCATGGTCTTTCAAGTGCCCCAACAGACCAACAGCACCAATCCAAGGAGTCCCAAACCTACAGATAAAACCCCTGAACAAAAAATCCATAGATATTCCAATCGAAAAGAAAAACAAATCAAGAATCCATTCACCAGTCACAATTCATGATCTTATCATCAACACATACGTGAACGAGCTGAATGAACCTTCAAACAATAACAGAGAAGAGCTACTGCAAAAACTCAGAAAACAATTCATCCACAACTACAATGTGGATTCTATTGCAGTTTTTTCCGGAAATAGGGTGTACATATTAATCTTTGAATTAGACTCCGAGAACCCAGAATCTCCCACAGAACCCATAAACTCCACTCAAAATTTGCAGCACATTCATGGCTCAAACAATTAATATGCTGTATAACAACATAAACAGCTACATTTTGAGAAAACAAATAATCGGTAATTACATTGAAGCAAACAATATAGATTGTACACTATTTGTGGAAGCAAAAATAAAAGAAGACTCAAATACCACCTACAAGAATTGGACAGTGGTCCAAAAACATGGAAGCCAAATACATAATAGACCTAGAGGAGGAAGCCTAATCCAAGCACGCCCCGGCATAAAATTGGGAAAAGCCAACCCACCAACATTGAATAACGCACTCAATGAATGTCTACATGTAACCATCCCCTTCAATAACGACAAACTACACATATTTTTAGTGTACATACATCCGCATTCCAGAATTGAAGAAAATATTTTCACCAAAGCCAACCTCTTCAAATATTCACTAGTAATCGGAGACTTCAATATCAACAATAGAACGAAGAAACGACAACTCAATAATTTTTTGCAGAATTCAAACTTCCAAAAAAGGCAAACAGAACCAACGTTCCTTCTGCCAAATAATAATGACACAACCCCAGACCTCATACTCCACACTAAAAATATTGCAACAAACATAATAAACGTTGAGGAAATTGCAGACCTAGGTTCAGACCATCTGGCCTTCAAAATTACAATAGATATAGAAACACAGCTTGCAGAAGAAGACATAATGAGATACAATTTCAAACAGACCAACATGGACAATGTGAACCAAAACATGATGGAGTATGTTCAATCTTTGGAATCCAATGAAATAGATGATGAACAAATCACCCTCTTCAACCAAAAGCTTAGTACAATAATACTGGAACAAACACCCAAATATAAATATAACTTTTACTCACATGAACTTCCACCTTTCATCGTAAGCCTGATAAGGAAAAAGAGGAGAATATATA